GCTCTCAAACAGCAACAGTTATTGGCCACATAGTCATTAATATCTAGTATTATCAGTATGGACGTCCAGTATTTACTCTGCCAACCTCTCGCTGTCGTTCTTCACTCATGTGGCTCTGACTAAGAACTCTTTTTTTTGGGCTCAGACAAAATCCTGTCTCAAAATTCAATACATATCTTAAAAGCCCACATTTGTTATAAGAATGTAACCCATACATGTGGGTTACATTGGGCCCCAGCCTATTCAATGTGGGCCAGATGTGAGCTGCGACTGCCGCATCTTCAACTGGCCCTAAAATGGACAAATACTCTGTCGCGCTGTTAGAGATAGACTTTAATGATTCTGCGGTTGGTATTATGGCTGGAGTTTTGGTTTGTAGTTAAACAACGCCCTCTACTGGTGACAAATTACAAGACATATTTAAATAAATTGTAAAAGTTGATTATGAAAAATGATTGTCTGTCCAGTGTCCTGTTTTACACATTATTTATTAATTATGCAATGTAATTAAATATTACATTAACATTACATTTAATCATCTTTTTGACCTTCAGATTCCCAATGAGACATGCAAACCATTATTTATAACTGTGTGAAAATGTTTTTCACGACAGCTCGTGGAAAATTAAAGGTCATTTGTTTTTTATGAATGAAATCAATATAACAAATCAGTTACAAATGAGAATATATCAAAGTAAAGAACGGAATGACTTTGGTGAACAATCAGACTGCTCTTATTTGTTTGCTGCATCATTACCTAAAAGGGCAATCAGGACCCATAGGATACCTCAGAAATATATATATATAGGACAGAACAGAAAAAAGTACAAGCTGTGTTAACGCTCATAATGTGCTTTAAACACTTTGGGCTTCCAAATGAAAATGGGATTAAGACACTGATACTTTAACCTCCTCTAAATATAAAGCAGAGCGGAGACTCTCATTGAATTACAATCAGCAGATTTCATTATTCAAAGCAGCAGCGCAGCAGGATTCTTTCGCGAGGAATAACTCTTCTGAATAAATGAGGAGAAAAGGACTCGGAAATCCAAACGTATCGGCCGCTCTGATTTTTTTTCCAGAGCTTTTGTTAAAATAATCTCTCCTCCTTGTTTCTTTGTAGAAAATCCACAGAGCTCTTCACACCACGTACGAGGACGTAGGCAAGGAGATGACCGGCCTGGACCAAAAGTAATGAAGTTGTTCACACTGTCAAAATCCATTAGCTGTTGCCGACATGTGTTGTTTTGACTCCATTACTTGGTTTATGGGATATAATGAGTGAGATGTATTTTCATCAAGATTTCTGATGATGAATCGACCAACACTGAGTTCCTCAGACAATAGTCAACCTATAAGTATTTAGATTTCCAAATGTTATTACAGACAATAGTCAACCTATAAGTATTTAAATTTATATATAGTATAGTATAGTATAGTATATAAACTGTTAGGTTTGTATATTAGATTCCTCCAGTAAAGTATTTTTAAACAAATATGGTTGAATCATCAGGATATGTAGAGATTTTCTAAATAACAGTAGTTTCCAGGGCAGTAATTGTTAGATTTCTATATGAATTGTCACTGATTTGCAATTGGTTTGATTTTGTCCTGTCTCTCCAGCCCCTCCTCCTGTATCTCAGAGAACTGCACCCTCCACAGGAAACAGTATCAGCCTCCTCCTCCTCCATCTCCTCCCATATCCCTCCCTGCATCATCCACAGCAGGGGGCACCAACAACTCCTCACCATCCCACGAGCCCAAGGAGAAGCGTGTGCACTTTGACCTGGAGACCCTCCACAGCTACCGCCTGCGCACACACACGGCCTCGGTGCGCGGCAGACCCGGAATGGTCGGTCGCCCCGGGCTCGGATTGGGCGGTTTAGAGCTGGGAAACTTGGGCGCTTTTGGCTCCCCGTCACAGATTAGCCTCCACGTGAATGGAGGCCCCGTGTCGGCGCTGGCCTCCTCCGGCCTGGTGCTCACTCCCCTGGGGAACAGGGCAGCACAGACCAGCCTGTGGGAAGGGGAGCTGCAGGAGCTGCAGGGGAAAATCGAGACATTCCGCAACCAGCTGAGAGAAGCTCTGGCCAGAAGGGCGGAGATACAGAGCAGCCTGGAGCGAGAGAGGAGCGGACTGGTACGCAGGGACACCAGTCTGGAGAGGGACAAGGACAAGCAGAGGATACAGACTATCAACACAGACAGGAGCAGCAGTAGCAGCAGCAGCAGCAGCAGCAGTGCTCAGCCAAAGCTGACAGAGAGGGACAGAAGCAGCCAGCTGCAAACCCTGAACAATCAGCAGACAGCGAGGGTGAACCAATCAGGCGTGACAGGGCCTCTGGAGCTGGGGAGGAGCAGCCAGTTAAACACAGTCAACAGTTTGGACCGGGGGAGACCCAGCATCCAGTTACGAGCTGTAAATACTTTGTTAGGAGACAGGACTGTGCTGTCGCGGGCTTCAGCCAGCCTGGAGAGGAGTCGCGTCAACCAGGCTGCTGTCGGAAACTTATCGGTCCAGTCACGTAACACGTCCAGCCTGGACAGGCAGAAAGCCAACTTGGTCCGCGCAATAAACACTTTGGAGAGGACAAAAGCCAACCAATCAGGTGTCAGCAGCGGAACTTGAGCCAATGTAAGAAAAATACCGTCAATTTTTCCAGAAAAGTTGGTGCACTTCTTCAAAATGCTGGCAAAAAAATAAACTTTAAAGTAAAAGGTCAAGCTAAAGCAAAAAGCAGAAGCTGCTGCTGAATATGCATGACCTTGGAAAACTAACCCACAGTATTCATACCCTGAGACCCATTACTAAATCAGCTTACAGAGAGGGTTACAATTACAGTATACTTTTTAAAATGTACTTCCTGTTTGGAAACACTACAGTATTTTCTGTCTTTCTGGCCTGAATATAAACACTTTAATAAATTCACAGATTAAAACGTTCAGCTTACAGGATTTTTTAAGAAGTGTACCAGCTTTTATTGAAATGTTGTTTGTGTAACGACACAAAGGTACGAGTGCAAATTGTTGTTTGCATAACTGCGGGAAGAACATCAGCAATACACTAACAGAGGCTAGAGTGGAATCCTGGCCTTGAACATTGACGCTACATTAGCTGATAGCATTAGCTTAATTTTACTTTCATAATTATTTCCTGACCCTTCTTTTTAGGTGAATCGCAAGCACATAAAGAAATCACTGCTGACAGCACAGAAAACCAGAGGCATCAGAAAGTTACATGAAAGGATCAGAGGCAGATGGAACTTTGTTTTTGGGGATTCTTACTTTGTGTCAGATCATGTCACCAAAGTCTGAATTTATTTGTGTTATTTTTCTTTTTTTGGTCATATTTTGAACACAATTTGATTTTACTTAGAAAATAAAGTTAGAATTGGACATTATATTTTAATCTCAGAACTGCATAATTATTATATTATTATGAATAATTAATAGTTAAAAGGTAAAAATTTTCTTTAGTAGGAAGGAAAAAAGTAACTTATCTTACTGAATCTCTAAATTGGAAAAAAAAAACCCTCCAATCATCCGACTTCCTCTCAGACTCCAAATTCTGACTTTGTTCTCAACTACAATGTACTTCCCAAAATTGAAAAAGTAGAGAAAGACTCACTCATTGCTGATGCAATTTAATACCTAATGCCATCTATTCTTTGTTTGCCATCTTCCCTGTGTCTCTGTGTGTCGTCCTTTAATGATAAAAAAACCCTAATTTTTATTTTATCGCTTAATCTCACACACTTTTCCAAATGTGGAATAGAAAATGCTTTGAGATTTATCGCTTAATCTCACACACTTTTCCGAATATGGAATAGAAAATGCTTTGGTCATTTCTGCCTATGATTCAATGGATTTGACATGAAAAAGGGACTCAACAGGACTTCAAATATTCCTATCAGGCAGCAAACTTTAATAAAAAAAAGCAACCTGATATACACTATCTCGAGTTTCATAAGGACTACTGTAACTACTGTGACTCTGGAGGAAGCTTTAGTTTGGAGAAAGTATGAGCGTCTGGAGACCAGACCAGTTTATGAGACAAACTCTGCATCAGAGAGTGTGGAGGTCAGAGGAGAGTCTTATATAATTTTTAAAAAATGCCACTGGGAAATGTGAGATCCATCGCTTCTTGGACTTTATCCCAAACTGGAGACTAAAACTCATAACATCCCAGCATCTGCTGCTGCGCTGTTTTCCCTCAATCTGTCTCCTGTGAGAACTCACTCCTACACTCTGTGGAGGTGAAATGTGAGTGTGTGCATGTGTGTGTTTTAACATGACCGCATGTCTGACCCACTCCATTACAATGGTTGTTAATGTTTAATGTGGCCGTAGCTGTGGCAGCGGTGTTGGTGAGTCTGTGTGTCTGTGTCTGTGTTCTTCAGGCTGGTGTAGGTACTGCATCCTCCATTTGAACAGAGAGATACTTTAATTACTGACCATGTTTAACACGGGGCAGTACTCTCATCAAAATCAATGCTGGTCAGGAACTGTTAATGAAGTTCATACTATCATCTGAGCAGACCATTAAACCTGGTACTTGCTTACAAACAGTGCTCAAAATATGATACACGTGTGATGCAACATTAACACAGCAACGTTCCTTCCTTACAACCAGTTATGGGTTAGTATGAATAAAACCATTTAAAAACAGACAACTCCAACACGAATAAAACCATTTAAAAACAGACAACTTGAGATTATAAATTCCGCTAAATCACAGCTGTTCAGTTGTACATTCAGTTTGGCTGAACATTTGAAGTGACTAATGAACAAAGGATAACTTCAAAAAATGTACCAAAACATTTGATCAGCAGCCCAAAGTGAGAGAAAATTAACTCATGGGTTTGAAGCCCAAAGTTTGCAGAAAAAAACTACCCTTTTTTCGTAACTATAATTTGTGTGCATTTTAAAACCTTAAAATCTTGTGAGTTATATTCCAAACCAACTATCATACCATCTACGGCCACATGAGGGCACCGTCTACAGTCCTCTCAACTGAATGTTGCTACTGCGTCACTGAATAATGACAATGACTAATCCATAAGGATTTTCTAAAGAACAAATAAAATAACATGAAAAATGCGACCAAAAAGAAAAATATTGCAGATTACAAAGTCTGTAGCCAATAACAGTGTTGTAGCAGTTTAAAAGAATTCAATCTTAGAAGCAACACCAAGGATGAACTTGTTGGCCTTTTATGTTCACTTATTTAGTCCATGTTCTTTTAGCTCTTGAATTCTTGTGAATCCTTTTATTTAAAATAATTTAATAAATGTTCTCTTAATTAGCCTTTTTTGTCAAGTACAGTAGGACTTCCGGGGAATACGGTACATTTTGTGCAAAGTTTAATTGGCAATTATCTGTTAATAGTTTACGTTTCTGCTTCTTGGAGGAACATGAATGGCAAACCCTTCACTTCAAGACACACGACCGTGGGTTGTGTGTTGCTAGGCCACTCAGATGAACACAAACTAGACCACTGTGAGGTGGTGTCTGGACCATGCATCTGAGTCCTGCAGCTAATGAATTCAAACCTAAAACATTCATGGCATCACACGGCTAAAATTGCACTTGGTTTTGGCGCAATACTAATAGAAAATGTACTTACTTGACATGATTGTAATGACTGTACTTTTAGAAGTTGGCTGATCCCAGTAGTCTCTCTGTGTTGGAACGATCGTTGGTGATTACGGAGAAATCAGCGGTTCCTAAAGTCAGATCAGCGACGATCACTTTGTCACATTTGAGTTTATTGATGCTGCCAGCGATAGGGCTCTGGTCATACCTACAATAACACAGGCCGCCCACAAGAGGGAGACAAATGACAAACACAGTGACACGTGTAAGAAGCAGACGAGCACCCAAATGATTTATAGCAGGTCGTACCTAAGCCCAATTTTCCTAATTTTAAGACTTAAATATTTTAATTTTTTATAACACTTTGCAATCACTCTAGACCAACTTGGTATAATAGTTATGATCAGTTAGAGTTAAAGAAATTATACTACTAAAAAACCATAAAAATAAAATCTCACTTATTGCTCCTGTGAGTTGGTCTTACTCTTCCCACCAAACCTTGTCAATTCTATTACATTTTGTTTTACAAACAGCTGACATCATTGCTGTCAATACGGTCTTTTCCCTTAGATAATCACATTACGTACATATAACAACCCAAGTAACATGATAGATGTTTTTACTTTTGTATTATTTCATGTCTGCATGCTCTACCTGTCTACATGTCTAACCTCTCTCCAATTTAACTACGAAATTTGCTTGACTTAAATGGGTTTAATCACCGTTTTTGCTTCAGGTAAAATCCCCAAACAGTTTGATTGCTTCAGGTAAAATCCCCAAACAGTTAAACAATCATTTAAAATTTAAACAATCATTTAAAATGTTTTGTTTTGTTTAGATTTTATGTTAAATGTCAAACGTTCTGTATTGCTGAGCTAATCCACGCTACTGCCCCCTGGTTATGTAAGCGAGAACTTTGTTTGTTTCTGTATTTACCATTATTAAAATAATTGTATATCATTTTACCGTTGATGGAAGTTGTGTTGACAACCTTACTTGTTCAATTAACCACCAGACGGCACTTCATTCTCTTCCCGCGGCCGTGGACACAGTGTTAGCGGATGGAGGATTAACTTCAGCAAAACTCACATCATAAAAATTCTACTTTTGACTCACGAAGGAACAAAATCCCAATGGAAATAAACAGTTCTCTACTACCTTCAGAGGAGACGAAGGGACATTTCCGGTCAATTTCCGGAAAATCTCGCGCATTTCCGCTCTTCAGAACTGACTGTCGGAGGTTGTGACTGTCGCTGAGACTTTTTTCTCTGGTTGAACTGATGTACATTTAAACATTTAAACAACTTCGCTGTGGTGTGACGTGCTTGTCTTCACATGCCATGGTGTCGACGACCAGGAGGAGAAAACAGAGATATTTTAAGACTTTATTGAGAACGAACTTGTGGTACTGGATATTTAAAAGAGTTATTTTAAAAAACAAAACTTTATCCCTTATTAAAATGTATCAGCATATTATGGAATTTTATCATAAATGATCATTCTCATGTTTTGAAATAAACATTTATATACTTGACTTGTCGTGTTTGCCTAGAGAACTGAACTAGGTTAATTCAAGAACAAAAGTCTAGAATACAACAACTGGGTTAGTCAACATTCTCAGTTTTATATATATATATATTTCACCTAAACAACGTCACTTTTTTTACCACAAATATCCAGAAATACAAACATGTTGGTTGTATTTAACTAGTGTTGTTATTTAGCTCTAACTGTTGTTAGGATCTGAGAAAATCTCACACCCACTCAGTTACTACTGGCTAACACCTGCTACTTGATGATGGTGACCGCTCAGCTAGTACAAATGTGAATGTTTACCAGTGTGTTTACAAGCTCCACAGCCAGGAACATCTGCAGTCTAAGAACAACTCTCTTTTTAAATGAATCCACAGCTGCTGTTGTGCAGGAGAAACGTTGGGAGTAGCAGTTAGGAAAAAGAAAGAAGATTACTGAGGGACGTAACACAATCATTACCCTTTATGTGACCCCCTGACCCCACTGTATAGCCAATAATTCCAACATCTATCCACCTGCTGTTGCTCTAATTCATAATCGTTATATATGGTAGTATTTGCAAAAAAGGCAGGAGTTTAAAATACGATCTTATCCAGAGGAGGTTTTCAACTTAGGTCAGATGCATCAGCCCAGCATCGCCAAGTACAGGACAATAACAAAGTAACCTGTAAAATTATGAGGCGACTGTAGGCAACCCCTGACACATTCTACAAACCACCGTCAACATGAACAGCAATGACTAAAATCCAACAACTATGAAAAAGCATGCACACATGCAGTTATTACACATATTTGTAGAATCTTAGAGACTTTTTTCCATGTTAATTAGTCCATCATTTTGATAAGTCATAAATAAAACCAGATGTAAAACACATACACACCTTTTGTTACTTGTTTTTCTGTTTCTGAAATATGCAGGGGTAAAACGTTTTTGTCATATTATAACTAGCAATTTACCTTGATTAGTTATAATTAATCATGATAAATTACGATCAGAATTCATTTTGATTAATCCTGATTAATCCACATGAACCCTGTGATTAACCTGAATAAAATGTCATCGAATGAAAGCCAGAGTTGCTACAATTTTGTTACACCTGAAAACTGTAACAATTCATATTTTGCCTCAGGCAAATACAGTGCATAGAACGAACACTAGTTTCTATTTAAAATTTTAAGGGTTTTTTATTTATTTATTTTTGTTTGTTTTTCACACAATAAATAGACGAGTCAATTTACTTTATATATATTTTAGACAACCTTGATTTAAGTGAGTTGTATAAACTGAACCACGACAGCGTTTCACTGCTGGATGGTGAGTGTGGCTTGTCATGTAATGACGGGGTTCCTCCACACTGTGGCACTTAAAGCTCTGTATATCGGCGGCAGTGTGACGTGTGCAGCGCTGACGAGCTGCAGAGAACGACTTCACTCACAGTAGTGAGGACAATCACCGAGGACAGTCTGGAGGACGGACACGTTAAGATGCCGGTGGTGTAGTGAGGAGTGTGTCGGCGTCAGGACCCTTCATGCATATTTGCTGCTCCGTCACACTTCAACCGCCCAATGACAGGGGAGTTATAATGTTTAAGTGGGTACAAGTTTGAGAGGCTAAAAATAACTGCTCTACAACTGCTCTTCCTGGGATACTTAAAAGAATAATTAAGTTGTGAATTTACATGATAGTCAGTTTTGATGATTAAACAGTTTAGTAGGAAGGAAATGCCTCTAGTAATTTGGAAATATAATTAGGTCTAAGACGCTGTTTTAAAAAAAAGATTCTACGAATTCTTTAGGGTTAGCTTTGGAACTAGGTCAATATGAAACATTCAGAACCCACTAAAACTAACAAGGCTGTTAAGAACCTTGCTAGTCCGAAGGTTAGCTCAGGTAACAAATAAGTGAGTCAAATTTAAAAGACAGAAACATGTAATATATATGTCTATATAAATATAGAATCAATTTAGCAAGAGGCTTAAAATAGTTTGAATTTTAATAATTAGTAAATATAATAATAATTAATAAAAATGTTAGCTAAATAGCTATATAATAATAGCTAAAAAGTTAACCAAGAATAAGCTTATAGTAGTCAATGGTTAAAGACAGAAAAGGGAAGTCAAGTGAAGATGACAGTCAGTACAAAATCAACTCAGTATAAATAGTTTAAAGTTAACAACGAACATTGGAAAAGCTAGAATGTAATAACAGCTTAAGGTAAACTGGCTAGCCACGGTTAGGCAAAAGTAGAATGTTAAACCGGAAATCCCCTTAAAATAGCCCAGAGTAGCAATAATACTGCAAACTAACCTAAAATTAATTAAAGATGCCAAAAAACAGCTAGAGGTTAGCCCCTCATTAGCCAAAAGTTGGCTGAATATTAGAAGAGTAATAAAACATTTAGTCTAAACTTGCCTGACAAAAATGACTGAACTAAATTCCCTGAAACTGTTAACAGATGGTACTCCTTAAGCTGATAATGGGTTATGAAAAATAATTTTAAATTGGTTCACATTCTCCCCTGGGCCAGATTTTGGATTTTACGTCATGTATTTTTGTACGTAGTATTATTATTTCTTTTAACCATGTATTTGGAGTAAACATGTATTACAAATATTTAATAATTTAATATTTATTATATAATAAATAATATTAAATTTTAAGTATCCACTTTGTACAATTGAAGACTGTAAACTAAGTGCTCATGTGAAACCTGATGTCTGGAGAATGGAAATTGACATTAGCAAATAGAATTCTTCAGCACAGATGAGAGCTGTAACAGCACGTGGGAAGCTCCAGGAGCTGGAGATGGGAGCAGCACGCCGATGATTTAGAGCACTGGCATCGACCAGACTGCATAAAACGGCAGATAATCCTGCGGTGATAAAGCCAATCGATGCTGCGTTGGCTGCGTGCACACGTGGCTGGAACCACCTTGTTGTAATAAAATAAACAATAGCCTCTTTGTCAGGTGTCCTCAGCGCAGTGCAGTGGGAGAACTGGAGGGCCGCTGTAAAAATCAATTGGAATCCAATGGCAGGACTGTGGGACTATTACACTGAAGAGGCTGGACGTGTGTCAGGTTCCCATGATATACAGCAATAAAGCTAGCTGCGTTCACACAACACGTGCTGTGCATGTGCATGTCCTTATGCACCAGACTGGGACCATGAACGTATCACCAAATGGCTGCATCTGCGTTCATGGGCCATAATCAGACAAACTGATTCGTTGATGATCATTTGTTGAAGGATCAGACGCGTCAAGTGCAGCAGAGCTTGAAGTGGACTTTGATTGTGTTTGAAAGTGATGGGTGGTGGGCACACGACATCTAGTGGCATCAACTGAAATTACACTTGATTCCATTAGTATTAGTAGTATAGTATTTGCCATCTTTAACATACCTTGTGCCAGTGTTTTTGGTGGGCCGTATTAGAAGACCTAGCGGGCCGTATCTGACCACGGACCGGAGTTTGACCATGTCTGTTCTAGGCAGTGCACAACTGAGTCTGGGGGAGTGCTAAACACGACAGTGAATATTTTAGGTGTAGTTATAGGTACTGCAAGTCTGGGAGTCTGCATATCACTGTACACATATCAAATGAACTCACACACACACACACACACACACACACACAGATATCTGAATATGTCTTCTGTTCAAACTGAATAATTGGGTCACATGTGTGGAAAGCAGCCAAGGAGGATTTTAATCAAACTTGAGAATTCCCAAAGTGCACCTCTACATCGCCCCCTGGCAGACATCTACTACTGGATATGGGTCTGTGGTACAGAGTGTTGCTGATAACGCATACTGTGTACAGAGGAAATACAAATGCGGAGACTTCCTCTGGACATCCCAATGACACTGAAGCTACGTGTTCATAATCTCATTGTTTGGGTAAATGGTTTTGAACGCACAAAGGATTCCTTCGAGGAGCTCCGGGAGCAGGAGTCTCCCTGCCTTTGTCTGAGAGGTAAATAGGATCCAGGCTGTGTGAAAGATGAGTTTATTAGCTCCTGCCAGCTGTGACCAACCCATGGGTATCATTGCTGGGTTGGCTGCGGTGTCACCGAGTGTGTGTGTGTAATGTTTTGGGGGTTGGAGGGGAGGGTGAGGGAGAGAGAGATGAGGGAGTGTCCCATGAGAACCAGAGAAATTCCCTGGCAACCAGAGGCAGGATCAAGACTCTAAATGGGGCGCCCCCTCATTCATCCTGGCTCTGAGCAACGACGCAGAGCTAAATGACAGAGACCGAGAGAGAGAGAGAGAGAGAGAGAGAGAGAGAGAGATGGTGGTGGTGATGGGAGGAGAGGAAGGGAAGGTGGGGGAGGTTTACCCGTCTGTAAATATGTGAATGAGTGAATCACAAGGGTCTGATCAGCAGGAGCCCGACAGCTTTACCACCTCCTCAAATGAGTCCACGCAGATGTTAACACGGAGTCCGAGAGTGTGTCGACATAACGCCGTCTGACATGTTTCACTTTCAAACTCCATTAAGAATTCATAACCGTGGGAGGGAGGGAGGCAGGGAGGGAGGGAGGATATAGATCTCGGACACAGAGACAGCACAAATACTATAATTGGAAGTATTATACAGGAAGCACTTTGAGAAAATATATACGTGTCTGTATAATTGACACCTGGTCCAACCCTCGTCCAGGACTAGGACCCACAGTAATGTGGACTCTGACAGTAGCTGCAATATGGTGAGAAACAAGGAGGTAAAGGTCTGCTCCGTTGTATCGTTCTCAGCCTGCGAGTGGCAGTTGCAAGTGGAAAATGTCAAATTTGATTTGTCTTGGAAATTGGACACAATTCTTTGAAACCAATTGCTGTCTTACAAGGAAAATGGAACACTCTGCTCAGGGACAAAGGCCCAGGTATGAGGCTGGAATTGAACAACAACCTTTTTATCACTGGAATGCAATGCCCTCTATACTCTCTGGTCCAAGGCTGTTCTGGGAACGTGAATTTATAACAAATGATGAAAGTGTGAATGCAAGGCTTTGGAAAACACTGATTGTCTTGGTTCTCAAAATGTGGTGCGCATATCACAACTGGTACGTTGGCTCAGAACGCTGTGAGTCACATTGTTGTTAAATATATGCAACGCTGTGAGTCACATTGTTGTTAAATGTGTATGTGTATGTGTGTGTTTGTTGTCTATAGCAGTGGTTCTCAAACTGTGGTATGCATATTTCTGGTGGTACTTCGGAATTTCTTTTTTTTTTCAAACTTAGAAAAATATTCTAGATACATATATGAGGGGCTTGAAACAACTTTTTGTAAGATAAGTTTGTGTCGGGGGTGGGAGTGTGTTTATTCTTGTTATTAATTAAATTTAAGTCTTTCTCTTTTTAGTTGATCCTGTTACTGTAGTTAAAATACTATACATTACTACATTTTATGTATTTATGTATCTACACTGTAATGAGCTGTTAAAATATATATAATAACACACAGAAATTACTGCTAAACAGGCAGAATCATTTCTCTTAAAAAAACAGTCCATTGCAGTATATCTGCAATAACATTTTGAGTAGATCCAAGGTAAGACCAAACAGCATCTTTAACGTTTCTTTCCATTAATGTTGCTACTTTTAGCTATCACCGAATACTCACTGCAGTTCTCAATAACAATTAGGAAAACCGAATTGAACACCCATGTGAATCACACTGCTGTAAATGGTGAGTCAGTGAACTACAGCAACATGACCCGGAGTCCAGTCCTGCGTTCGGACACTGTGATCCAGAGAAGCACCAGGGTGGACGGACCCCTGCCACACCCTTCCACAATAAACAAAGACCGGGACTTCTGGGACACCAGTCGGTGCTTGGACTGGAACAGTCTGCTGGTACTTGCCGAAGCAGAGAACTTCACTGTTGGTGGAGAGCCCTGTTTTTAGCCTATTTATAATTACACACTCAAAGCAGCCTCTGCATCCGTAGATGAGATATCATCTCCCGTAAACGCCCCCTCTCGATTATGCTCACATGAGCCTTTACTCCACACACACGTTCTCCCAAAAACACAGAGGAGGGGGGAGCAGAGGGGGGAGTAAAAAAAAAAAATCACCCTTTGTCTAGGTCGCCTCTCCAGTGGTAGCCTCGAAACAGGAATTCAGCTGGGAGAAGTATATATGGACCAGACTGTCTCCTCCTCCCCCACCACCATAGGCACACACAACACACTCTCTCCTCCCTCCCTCCTTCCCTTCCTCCCTCCCTCTCTCCTCATGCTAACCTCCTCCTCCTTCACTCCCAGGCTGTGCCTTTGTGTGTGTGCGTTGTGGAGCCGACTGCGTCCACCCGAAAACCCCTCCAAACGGAAGCGCTGCACAGAAAAAGCAGCTCCTAATTCCGTCAAGGGAGTTGGTCTCACCTCCTTCTGTTGTACATGCAGATTCTGGAGGAGAGAACTGAATGAAGGGTGGAGGAAATAATGAGGAGCAGCGGATGAGGGTGGACAGCAGGTGAATTTCTCACTTATCCAGAGCCAAGGAGGAGAGGAGCGCGTAAGAGCGGAGCAGAGAGTGCCGCAAATTGCGCTGGCCACCGTCAGCAAACCTTGCTCCGTGTCTCCTCCGCTGCTCCGAGGGTCTCCTCACCTTCTCCGTCCGTCCCTCTCCAAGAACACCAGCCCACCACGGCGCTCTTTGGACGGACAACAGTGGATTTCTGGGATTTTTTTTGCGGTTGCGACCCGTGAGAGATGGATTAAAGGAACGCGTCCACAGCCAAACTGGAGCAGCACGCAAGACCACGCCGGGGGGGAAGGGGGCGCAGAGACTCGGTGAATTCACGGAGCCCACGGGACAGAGGTGAGTGTGCAGAGAGGGGCGAGTGGTCCGGGGGAGGAACGCGGTTCCTCCCTGTTCGCCGGCATCACCGTGTCCTGCTTTCAGAGAGCGGAGAGGAAAAAGCACACAGCACATGGTTTTCCACGCTTCCATAATTGATGATCTCACACGCACAGGGTTTCTTCTGGTGATGGAGTAATAGCTATGTCATCACTACAGGCCAGTACACACAGCATGATGTGAGAGCTACTAAAAGGAAATCACATTATCACACGTGGTAGCACATGTTGTACAGATAAAAAAAATGGAGTCGATTTTTAACTATTTTGACCATTTTATAAGGGAGGTTAGTGGATTGCGGCCAACTCTCTCCACAGTCAGTTGAACATATGGTCATCTGTGTGTGCACGGCTGCTGAAGGCCCTGCAGTGTCTGGGTTCACCAGCATGCCAATACGGGCTGCACATGGTTATATGTGGGCTACATAGGATGGGAAAGTTGACATTGAGTTTGGACCGGTGAAAGTTCACTTTCTGATTGGTTACAATTCACATTTGCCATGATTTGGGCAGAGCAGTGTTTTAGATTCAAAATGTGAAACCTGCTCTCTGTAAGATTTTCTGATTGGTGGATTTCACTCTGACTAGAACAAGGAAGGAGGCTTATATTCAGTCCCATGGTTTTGACATTCTCCTCCAGTTACATGGGCCAAAGCCCACACATCAGGCCAGTGTGACGTACACCTGGTACACGGAGCAGCAGCTGCACATTTTCATCTGACCCAGACATAACAGATGTGAGCCTAAAATGACCGACATACAAGAAGGTAACTGTGGCCCAGATACTTCTAATGTTAAAATGACCAACTCATGGACAGGAGGCTGCAGCTCCTCCTATCTGTGGAACGCCACATTCACAAACATGTGATTTCATTTTCTTCAATTTTGTGTCAAATCCACATATGAGATGTTATGTCATGGCTTTCAAAGAAATTATTTTACATTTCAAGGCTGAATATTGGCTCCTGAACCAAAGCCTCAGTTGGAATTGAGTTGCTCACCACTGTGTCCTTGGGTCAAATATTGAATCCATCCTTTTCCCATCATAACACAGACACCCTGGTCTGACCTTGGTCCTAAGACCAGATAAATGCAGAGGCTTTCATCAGGTATTGAATCCAACTTTAAAACTGTCAATATCACGATGACGACCTATGAGAACGGAAACAGCTTCGGTTGGTAAAAAATGTTCTCCGTCACTACAAGCAGTGGAGTTCAATGAAAGTATGTTTAAAGTCAGCATCTCGCAGTACAACTTAATGAGGAGCAATAGTATTACAGTATGTAGTACTGTGACTGGTCAAATTTGACCACGTGACCCACTTTTGGTCATGATTTGAGAGACTTTGTTTTTAAATAAGGATTTTATACATTAATCAACAATAAATAGAGCTCACTGTTTCACACAGAATATATCAAACTGTCAAATGGTTATAAACGTTAATCTGCCTAATCACACGGGAGCTGTGGAATTATGTTGATTAATCATGATTAGTTTTGAACATAATCGCAATTAATCATGCGGGTTTGAGATAAAATCAACTTTCCTAAATATGACCAACAGTTGTATTTATATGTCTTTTACACCTGTTGTTTTTTGTGACTAATCCTAATGATGGAATTATTAATATGGATGAATATGAAACATGAATAAAACATATGCAAAAGAAGAAGTAGACACAAGAATTCAGCTTCGTAGAATCGGTGGATTTTCATCTTTACTGCAAGTTTTTTTCCCCAAAACTTCAGTCAAATCGTTGTCCCAAAAGTCTCCTCACAGTCCATTTGACAGTTGTGTCAGTCAGCTTGTCAGTCGAACACTTACTGACTGCCCTGTGCTCAGTGAGGCCGCTCTGACACAAGCTGGGCGTTTGACCTGAAGCTGAAATCTCTTTAAGCTGAGACTTGCTTCAGTCTGTGCTTCAGTGAGACAAGGACTTTTCTATGGACACAGCTAATGCTAAAGCTAAAGCTCATATAATGACTCAACAGCAACAATGGTGTATCTGATGTCAAAGTCATCATCTGCGTGTGTAGGGTCACAGCAGGATTGTGGGACCATATGGCACGTGCACACCGACCGCATGTCCTTCTGTCAGTTCAGTTCAACACGGTCCGATCTAGCAGGTAGCATCAACAACCAAGAAGAAGACGGTTATGATGATCCCCGCTCCATCACAGATCATCGCGCCTCTATAGGCGAGTCCAATCGGTTCCACAGCAGCACTCGTATGTCGAGCCGATCTTTTCCCCATTAAAAATATCTAAAAAACAATTCATTCATTCAAGCCATTCAACACGGTCCGATCTAGCAGGTAGCATCAACAACCAAGAAGAAGACGGTTATGATGATCCCCGCTCCATCACAGATCATCGCGCCTCTATAGGCGAGTCCAATCGGTTCCACAGCAGCACTCGTATGTCGAGCCGATCTTTTATTACAGACACAATAGCGCCTCTATAGGTGAGTCCAATCGGTTCCACAGCAGCAAAATATCTAAAAAACAATTCATTCATTCCAGCCAACCAGAAATATACTATTAATGAATTAAATGACTAAAAAACAAATATATAAACAAATATATTGATAATATAAAATTATAATAATTAAGAAAACATTTTATATTATTGTGATAAATAAATTGGTAAATTATCCCAAAGAGACAGTGGGCGAGACGGTCGAGCACTCGTATCACGAGGAACATTTTGCAAAAGTAGCTTACTCGTAACTTGGAAAACTCAAATATTACTACTACTATTACACACACACACATTCCCAGTTCTTCCCGTTTTCCAAGCACAGACACAGGGACATCATGTCTGCAGCAGTGCTTCAGAGAACAATGCTGGTGTAGTAGATGAATGTGGCCTCACTCCCCCCTCCTCCCATCTTCAAGAGTCTCATTGACTGCATGAGTGTGTGTGTGTGTGTGTGTGTGTGTGTGTTTGTGTCTGTAAAGACCTCGGTCCAAGCTGACTGGAGTAGGTCATTGAGAACAAGCAGCTGCGTGAGTGGGACTCCAGGTCCATCATCTTCTTAAGCTGCTTTCACAGCCTCCTAACTACCATCTCTGTCTGAGACCAACCACCACACACACTCACACACACTCACACACACTTCAGCCTCACATTCTCATTTGCCTTTGACTTTTTTTTTCTGCCACGTCTTTGATCTACACTTATCTCCTCACAGGTCTGCTCCTCTCGATTTGCACTGGTCATGGAAATCAAGCAAAAGTCTTTGATTCCCGCCGCTTTATTGCGCCTCGAGGTCGGGAGCTGTTATCTCAGAGAAAAGGCTGAACACAGGCAGAAGGTTGGATGGTGATTAAAAAAAAATGGGGTTAGGGTTAGAGGTGTAAATAGTTAGGAACAGGAAGTGTAAGGTGAGGAGATCTGAGGAGGAATAGTCCTGCCTTATTGAGAGGTTAAGTGTTTTTAAGGCTTGGGATCGTGACCCCATGTGGGGTCGCCAGGAATTCAAATGGGGTCACCTGAAATATCTTGTAATTTTTTTTTAAATAATAAAACTGATAGAAATATTTTTTCAACTCATTGTTATTCTTTTAAAAAAAATTAAAAAATATCTGAGCTGGCTCATTTAAATTGACGGCTGTAATCACGTGACGCCTCAAGTGACGGCTACTAAAGTGTCTCCGTGGGTCGCCAGAAATGTGTGATGTCAAAAAGGTTGGAGACCACTGCTGAGTGAGACAGTGGTGAGAAGGCAGTAATATAACGTGAAAAATTTGACTAATTAATGCTGACAATGTGGCGCTGTGACCCAGAGGCAATGTCTCTGTCATTGGTGTGGAACCCCAGGGTTCACCTCCTGGGCAAGTTCGAATCCTGGTTAGGGCCGTTGGTACCTTCCAGTGGACTCACCACCTGCAGGAAGGTTCAGGGGGGGTTGGTACGGTGCAGTGTGACCTGGGTGGTGGTCATGGAGACTGCTGCCCCCGTGACCCGGTAACGGATAAGAGGATGAAAATGGATGGATGGATGGATGGATGCTGACAATTTTTGTGGGAAATTCAATTTCTTGAATGAATGCCAGTTAATGTATGGAGATGTGTGGTGCCCCCCCCCTCCACTCCCCCACTCCTCCTCCCTGGCCAATACTGATCAACATCCCAGCCTCACTGACACGCACAGATGAGAAAAACAGTCAAACTGTGGAAATATTTATTATTATTAAATGAATATTATTCAGTTGAAACAGAGTGATTAGTTAGAAGTTAAACTGAATTTTTTTCTCCAAACTGTGTTGGCTGAACAGTTATTTCTCAGTAACAATCATTTGTTTTTCTGCTGAGAATATTTAAATTTGCTCTCTCTCTCTCTCTCTCCCTCTCTCTCTCTCTCTCTCACACACACACACACACAAGAAGACGTGAGGAAACCACGGCTGTGTGGTTTTAAATGCTTCTGTGCAGAATTATGGCCTTAATCATTGACAATGTTTGCAAACAGAGTTCCGGCGTAAACCAATAACGCACCTCATTACCGAGCAGCCCCTCAACCAAATTGCTCGTAATTCATCTGGATGCGGGCTCTATTATTCAACGCAATACATTTTCATTTGTGCAGCATTAAACCTCGCAGTGTTAAACCGCCTTCAACCTTTTCGTATGAAATCTTTGGAAATCGCTGATTTGTTTTGTTTTCCCCCAACAGGTTCTGACTGGTCCCAACCAAAGATGCCGTCTCCCAAAAACAAAGCCAAGAAGAAGCCGCCCAAGGACAGCATGACGCTGCTGCCATGCTTTTATTTTGTAGAGGTACGTGTACAATTTTGATGAATCACCCCCTGGTGGCGTGAACATGGCTGTACTCACTGCACTCGCTGAATCGTCAGGTGGATTCCTTGTTTTATAGACTCATATCACAGCAGAGAGAGTGTTTTGTGTTTGATTGCGTCTGGGCGTGACCTCTACACACACTCTGGTGTCATCACTTTTCTCTAAGCGTGTACGCGTGTGTGTGTGTGTTTTAAGCCTGGACGGCACCGGTTCACTCACTCTCCGGACAATATTTAATGCTGCTCACTCTCTGCTTTGCCCTTGTGTCTGATGTGTGTGTGTGTGTGTGTTTGTGTGTGTTTGTCCAGCTCCCCATCGTCCTCTCCTCCCTGGTGTCCTTGTATTTCCTGGAGCTGACAGATGTGTTGTCTCCTGCGATGGTGGGTTTCCGCTGCCGTGACCGTGACCTGTCCATGCCGTACATAGAGACGGGAGATGAGCTCATCCCGCTGCTGATGCTGCTCAGCTTGGCCTTCGCTGGTCCTGCCGCATCCGTAAGTGTAGTCCACACTCACATGGGCCGTATTTATGAGCACTGAAGGGCTTCACTCTAAGGATTTGGGATCAGGAGTGATATGTTCAAAAAAAGACAAACCAAACTGTCACGAAATGTTCATGTTTGGAGATCTTCCACGACGAACGAGACCTTTGGCGTCTTTGTTTTTGGTCAGGAGTTTGCATTACGCTAAAGTGACAGGCACAGAGGCATTATTTTTCATTCAGCCACAGAGCAGGTCAAAAACGACATATTTCTGGTGTTTGCAGGTTTTTCAGGTGTGAAAACAAATGAAGAGTATGCGCAGGCACAGAGGCATTAACAGTCAACACGTAACACCACTAAGGAAAGTAAACATAGTAAATCCTAACTCTGGCTTTGAGATTAATTCTGGTTTTGTGCCCACTTAAAACAGTGGCAAAAGTTGGTGCAGCCACAAAGGCATTAAAGGCAATATTTCTTAAGTTGCCTAAGGAGTATGATACATGTCTGCTCAGACTTGACTTCAAACAAAAAAAGATGAGTTACAGTTGTAGTCATATTATATAGCAGATTTTCTTGGAGTGCCTTCTAGTGGACGTGGAATGTATTAATAAGCCGGTACAGATGTATATAATGAGCTTAAAAAAACTTTTTTTTAAAAAACTTCAACTAGAATTTGAATATTTAACATAAAAAGCAGTAGAAATTCAAATCTGATTTGAGGGGAGGATTGACAGCCGTACTTGGAGTCGGACTGAGACACTGCCAGTTCTAAACTCCTGCTGACTTTCTTTGACTGACAGGAGCACACACCACAGTCTGCAAAAATATCCCCAACCCGAAGGAATCATATAATCATGCAGAAGAAATGAGGAAGAGCGAGGCAAAGATCCGGACAGTGTGCACAAAAGCATGTCTGACATGCAGTCGAGAAAATATATTCCGTATAAAAAAAATCCCACTAACGAGTACAAAGAAAAACACACTTTGAGTCTGAGAAGCCGACACATGGAGCTCTGGACTCTGTATCCAGACCCTATATTTATCTTCTATTAATTTTATTTATTGCTACACATTTTAGACAAAGGTACAGTTGCTGTGTTGTCAGGGCCTTTGTGGTGCCATTTAGTGAAATATCTGAACTTTCCTGGCCCACATTCAGTGTGCAAAATGTGGGCCACATCTTCAGCCACTATGTCTTCTTGCCAAATTGATTCAGTTTTGGGTACCAAAAAAGAAAAAAATGATGCTGGAACATTTGCTGGAATAATCCAACAGTGTTTTGCCACTACATGGTTTTTATGTTTCTGCCAGAGGGGGCAGTAATTAAGATGCACAACATTTGGAAAAGTCTGTTAAAATCACATGGGCTACATTCTGTTGGTGAATAAACGTTTGGTTTAAACTGTGATCACTGAAGAAAAAGTGGAACATTTTACATTTTCTTTCCCACTTCGTCCTTCATTTTTGAACATGGTTTTGTGTTATATCTGAATTTAATTGATTTTGGAGGATACAGCGCCCCCTGCCTAACTTGTGTTGCAAGGAGTTTAACTGACAGAGAGGAGGCAAATGCCTTTATTTGGTGTTGGAAAATAATATTAATGTTTGTTAAAATGCTACAGAGCCATTTAAACTCATTAGAGTTGCAGTTTTTACTCTTGTACATAATCATTTAAATCATTTGCATATGACTAGCGGGAGCGTTTTCTAACATATGTGATAATATAGAACCTTACGTCACCCCTAGTGGATAGAAACATACCGCAAGCTTTAGTGCATCAGATCTTCGATGCTCCAAATTGCAGTCGATGTTAGAAAAGCCGAAAGGAGAAATGTAACGGTGAACCAGCAAAAACCAAATAGTGAAGAAGCCTGGGAGGAAGAGGAGGTATAATTTCCTCCCTGTGGATTTGAGCCTTTGCAGTATTTGATCAGCAGCTCATGCAAAAATGATGTAGTTTTACCAGAGCCATACCTTCTCATATTAGAATCTCTAAGATGAAGTCCCACCACTGGAGATCAGTGGCTGTGGAGTGTGTGGGTGCCGCCGCACACATTTGTCAACCTGGAAATATGAGAGCCTGAAACGTACGGCCTCTCGATGACTCGCAAAAACAAATCCAATCCCTGCTCAGATTCGCGCAATCGATGAACACGTTGATAAATACACACCCTCCGTTCCAATACGCACCATCAAACGCTTGCACACTTCCCTTCCTGTCAATACTCACACACTAATCCATCAGCAGCACGGAAACCAGCAGCAGCTCCCCAACGCTCATCTATCACTCTGATTGGAAGTGATCACCGTTCAATAGCGCCCTCGCCTGCGTTCTCACACCAGGGCCCTCACGCTGTACATCACAATCACACTGATGAATATCTGACACAGCACCTAAACTCCTTCCCCTCTCTGCCCACTCTCTACTTTTGTCTTTTTTTCGGGGGGGTTTGTTGTTGCTGTATTTTCCTGGTGCGTTAATCATTACATTCTTGCCCAATTCTCTTTCCCAATCCTTCTACCCCTCACCGACGTTTTCTCCTGCTCTGCCTGTAGATAATGATGGGGGAGGGCCTCATGTACTGTATGCAGTCCAAGCTGAAGACTTGTCCAAAGTCGGAGAGCAGCATCAACGCCGGAGGCTGCAGCTTCAACTCATTTCTGCGTCGGACCGTACGATTCGTTGGTACGTCCCGGTCAATGTCGAAGGTTTCGTCTAACCTCTCTCACGTTTGTGCATTGGTGCAGCTCCCGTCTCTGTAATTTCCTATATATCTGTCTGCCACTCAGTCTGTCCACAAATATATAGAGCATATATATATATATATATATACACACATATATATATATACATATATATGTGTGTATATATATATATGTGTGTGTATATATATATATATATACACATATATATATACACACATATATATATACACACATATATATATACACACATATATATATATACATATATATGTGTGTATATATATATATATACATATATATGTGTATATATATATGTGTGTATATATATATATACATATATATATATATATATATAATACCCACATTGTCTTTCCTTGTCTGACAGAAGGATAGTTTGCCTGCTTGCGAACTGTGATGTGACAAATTTTGATTTACTAAGTTTCAATGTTTTTTTTCTAAAAAAGTTTGCTTGATCATCCAGGAAGTATTTTGACATCTACATAGTCTACATCAGTGTTTCCCAAACTTTTTTTTCTGGGGACCCATATTTTAACAGTCACAAACCGCCGCGACCCAAGTCAATAGACATTATTTGTTATTAACTCCTGGGAAACTGATGCGAGACGACCCCCCCAAAAAAAACCTCTTGTGACCCACGTGAGGGTCGCGACCCAGTCTTTGGGAAACAATGGTCTACATAGTACAGCACCATCTTTTGTTTTTGCACTTTGCTGTAATTCAGTGAAAGCGTATTTATTTTTTAAAAGAATCTTGTTTCTGTCTCCTACTGGACTTCACTTTGACATCATGGTTTATTATTTTAGCTCACAGCTACTTGGCCACAGTCGACATCATCACGTTTACTCACTGAGGTGAAATACCTCCCAATAAAGGGACCTGAAAAGAAATTGTTTTTTAAGTTCAGTTTTGAAGAGATCTAATTATTTCACTTACCAGTTGTTGCCCCTCAAAAAAATGACTGGTTGTTCCTAGTCTGACAATTGGCTAATTACACGTATTTAATGAAGGGTGACTTGGCACCAAATTACATTTTTCACAGAGAGTGTCTTGAGGCACACCAAGAGCCTTCAAGTGAAAACAGTAATTAAATCACCTTGCAAAGTTTCACTGTCGGCACAAAAATGTCATCATGGAACAAATGGTTGATGGGGTAAGTGCAGGGCAGTTCCTGGCTGCAGGTGTATTTATAACAGAGGACTTACCCTGAGGCTGAAGGAACATTTACACATTGCTGGGCAATTTTTTTTTCCCTCCTTCCTCTGCCACTGGTCTACCGCTGTCCCTCAGGTGTTCACGTGTTCGGTCTCCTGGCAACAGCCCTGGTGACAGATGTCATACAGCTAGCCACCGGTTACCACGCCCCCTTCTTCCTCACTGTTTGCCAGCCCAATTACACCGCTCCCGGGGTGTCATGTGACAACAACGCCTACATCACACAGGACATATGTATGGGGAAGGACCAGTACGCTATCATGTCAGCCAGGTAAGACGTGTGCCACGTGCCATATTTGGAGCTGAACTTTAAGAGTTGAAGACTCAAGCCTCACGTTTACACGATCGTTAATGAACCCCTACATGTTTACGATAAAATAACTCAATCTTAGTGGATAATAAACTAGCTATTTCTGCTGTCGTTTGGCCCAAATGATGCCGTTTCTGGAGGTTTCCCTGCAGTTTGTTGTTTATCTTTCGTCAGTTACGGCTGCAGAACACGTGTCACGGTTGAATTATGGACTTAAGGTTGTATAATCTACTGCCTGCCGCTGCACTTACATCCCAAAACGACAGCGTGTTAGCAAACCGCACGATAAGGAGTGGTCCACATTCATTAGCATATGTATGGGATTAGAGCAGATTAAAGCACCTTAGCCGTACGGCATTTGCTGTTGTTACGAGTGGATTATTTTTTTTAAATGCAAGTATTTGCTTATCAGGTACTACACATTGAATACCTCTTGTACATTAAGAGTCTATTTGTGCAACAAGGCTTAGAATAAAAGACCTAACATGGTCTCACTGAGCCCTGCTCCAGTGTGTTTAGCAGCACAGTGACTATTGGAACAACAAGCTGAGACGTTTAACTGTGCACACAGAAAAGGAAAGTAAGGCTAAATATAGCTGATACGAAAATAGTCCTGCTTTTATAAATGTCTCTTTGTTTAAAAAAAAAAAAAGATTTTGTCATCCTTTGACGCAACAGCTTCACAGATTACAGCACATTCCATTTATTTATGCTCTTGCTTCGAGAACATTTTCATGAAATATAAGATTTTATTCTGTAGCCTTTTGCCTTGTTGTGTAATAAATAAAAAAAATCCATACTGCAGAATGGAAAACAGGCAATTATAGAGGCTAGGGTGACAGAGTCGTTCTCACTCAGGAGCAGTGGAGGAGTCTGAGGCCAAAGGAGCAATATGGTGCTGGGTGAATCTGCTACATGTTTATAGTACAGGCGCAGGAGATGTCGCTGTAATTCACTGCTGTGTTCATTGCTCACATTTCCAAGTCTAAAAAAGCTTTGTTGGTGACAACAAACTATTGAAGACATTGAGATTGCTAACTTGCTAGCAAAATGAAATAAATACCAGCGTAAACGTATGTTCAAAAGAGCCACTTACAAATAATTCAAATATGTTAAAGGTCATTTAAGGTTACCTCAAACATAGTGAACAGTTAAAACATTGCAAAAACAGGAATAATACGTCTTTTACTTTGGGTCGTCACCGTGGGAGTCTACACAGTAGTACAACAGAGTTTTTACACTGCATACCTTTCCTGATGCAACCCAACCTAGGACTCGGGGACAGGGTGGTGTTGACAGGGTGCAGTAGATGCAACCCAACCTAGGACTCGGGGACTGGGTGGTGTTGAACCCAGAGTCCAGTAACAGGCGACATCCTGCCACTGCTCCACTATTAACAAAAATTACTATAAAGATCAAAATACTAGCCACTACAACAGCTAAGAATAAACCCCCCAAAAAATAAAAAATACACGCCTAAAATATACTAAAGACAGCTTAGCTTAGCTGAGGGTTAGCTTTGTCCAACCAACACAAACTGTTTAGTTTCTACTCAACACCTGAACTGTGTTTTTGTGACTAATCAATTGCCTTCACTTTCCGACATATTCACTTCTTCACTCTCCCTCCCCTTTTTTTCTCACCAGGAAAACCTTTCCATCCCAGCATGCAACACTCTCTGGCTTCGCTGCTGTCTATATATCCGTAAGCACTTCCTGAGTTTCACTCATTGTTGCAACTGAACACAATCTGTTTGCACGATGATGATTGTGTGTTGGTGAACGAATGGAATGCAATATTGTTTTGAACTGACTCAATTTGGTACTTTAGCCATTTCTAGCAAATATTTTTGCTAATATTAGCTTCTTTGCTAACACCTGTAACATTTATTATTGGCTAAATTTTGCCTGCATTTGGAGTAGATACAGTATCTCTATAGTAGCATGTAGTCAGTTAGTTGACCAGTCAGTTTATCAATTTTATGGCTAAAGTGATGAGTACTGGACATTTTTGCTAACATTCAGCTATTTCTGGCAATACACTTAGCTAATTTGCTGTATTTTAGTCTTTTCTGTATTAACTAAAACAAAGTTGTCGATAATTTTTGGATACAATTTTTGCTCTTTGTGGACAGATATTAACTAATTCTAGTTGTGTGACTCTATAAATCAACATTTACTTATGTTTTATCATGTCTGGTCTAACATTTGTTGTCATTTAGCCGTGTTGGCTAACTAAATGCTAATTTTCTCTGCTTCCTTTATTTGTTTGACTAGTTATAGTTATAGATATAATTTACTGTAGGACCTCTGCTTCCTTTATTTGTTTGACTAGTAGATATAATTTACTATAGGAAATTTTTCGGCCTGTTAAAGTCTGCAATCCCTTGTATTTCTTGAATGGAAATAAAAGGAAAAAAAAAAAGAAAAGCTAACAGGCTTTGTCCAGATCTGCTGCAGTTTGCAGCAATAACTTACTTCCTGCAAATCAGATCATTTCTGTTGGACTGTGTTTGCTGTCAATTGTTACACGAGTCAGTGGTGTTACACTGTTTTCAGTTTATTGATGTACTGCATCAGTTCTCTGCTGTTGTCTTGAGCTTACGGCAGCAATATGGGAAAACAAAGCTGTCATTTTTCCATGAGGTTGCAACACCCCCTCCCGCCCCCCTCACCCCTTCTCCTCACCCACACAGTCCAGCCCACACATAAACCTCCACCAACAGCGTGTCTACAAAAGCGTATAGTTAGTGAGTGGACACAAGTCTGCCGCCTGGCTGGGTCCAGTGTGAGCTCATTAAAGACAGATTTCTGATCACGTAAGAAAAAGAGGAGAGAAATGCAGTGGTTTGTTACCACCATAAAATAATGGTCGTCTTCAAAGTTTAGCTGCTGACAGACAATGACAACACACATTCATTCTCAATGACCTCTGATGTAAATGGAAACTGATGTGAGACTAATTGGCTTTTTTAATGACACACTATGATTGGAAAAAAAAAAAAAAGATTCCACTAAGCAGAGAGTTGGTGTTGACAGACACCCACCAGTCCTTTCACCTGTTTCCATCAGTGTATTTATGTTCAACAGTAGAAGCATATGCTTGTTAAAAGTTTTGCCAAACCATCTTTTCTGTCACTCGACTGTCCTCCACCTTATGTAATCCCAGTATAGAGGCCATGGAGACACGCTGACATCCTGACTTTAAATGTATTTTACTTCGTTTTTGTCCAGTACGTAGAGTACGGTAAAATCGTACCTATCAAAATAATGTCTTTTTTTTTTCTCTTTTTCCTTAAACACTCCCTTGTTTGAGCCACAGGAATTTTTCTTAACCCCTATTTGCTTTGTTCTTTTCATTGATCTTGAAAATGTCTTGTCTCCTCAGATGTACTTTAACGCTAGCATCAGCACCACGACCAAACTCCTGAAACCCCTGCTGGTGTTCGCCTTCTGCATGGCAGCAGGCCTCGCTGGGCTGACACAGATAACGCAGCATCGCAGTCACCCAATTGACGTCTATGTTGGATACCTGATAGGAGCTGGAATTGGAGTCTATCTGGTGAGTTGAATGAAGTGTCCAATATTGTGTGAAGAACATGACTGCAGATAACACTGTATATTTAATTTGCAAAATTGTGACCAAATAAAGTGTGAATGGTGTGCAACATTTTGATAACATTTATTCAGACTTATTCTGAATATGTTAATATATTAGCACAGCTAAATTAGAACCTAAAAAAAAACACAGCAAACGTAACAAGACGTACTACTAGACGTAAACCTACAAATAGAAATAGATTATTATTCACTTGATAACAAATTCAATTAAAAAACTCAAATTTGCAAAGTCGCAGAACAGTAAGCTTGTTAGCCTGCTAGCAAGTGTTAGCTCCAAACAGCTAAACCGTTGCACAGTGTTGTCGTCGTTTTCTTCCCTTGTGTCACAATTAAAATGTACAGAACATTTAAAATATACAGACAAGTGAATGTGTAACTACTATAACTTGCTTACAAATGTTAGCCACCGGCTAGCTAACTTCAATACAAAGTCTAGCATTTTAGTATTTCCACATTAAACAATTTAAAGAGAGCATGTATTAAATACGTGTAACATTGAAGCTCTTCGTACGTTATTTTGCTTACCAGCATTAGTCTACAGCTAAATGCGTCCTTGACTTGCGATGGGCTACGTTTTAGTTACCTTCTAAATTAGCATCTAGTTCCAGATTCTGTTACGTCGAATTCATTAATATTCTTTACACACTAAGAGGGCGATGCTTTGATTATTCTGAATTGCTTTATTTTTGCTGACGAAATGTCCCCATATGTTTTTTTATGCTTTTAAGGATTTGTTCAGCCCTGGGGAAACAGCTAACTGCCGCCATGTTGTGACAGTAATGGCAAAAGTATAAATAGTTTGTTTTTTTCCTGAATTAAGTGGCACTTTTTTACAGTGACTACATTTCCCTATTGTGTTATTTTAACACTTTCGCTCCAAGTGTTAGCAACTTTTTTTTCATCATCTCTCCTCTCTGCTTGTCTGCAGTTCTTTTATATTGTTATCAGTTTTTAACAAGCTAAATATAGCCTGCCGTTAGGCAAGGAGGAGAGTGAGAATGAATAAACTGCTGAGAATTCTCTGGAACAATTCTGCACCTCGTTTTCAAAAAAATTGTTGATGCTTTTTTTTCTCACTTGTTTCACTCTCTGACTTTTTCCATCTCTTGTTTACTTTTTCTGAGAACAGAAGGCTGTCCTTCATTTAAAATGAAGAGTCACCTCTTGGTTAATGAGAAATATGTTTCAGGGATGATTTTGGATCGTTTTGGAGGAATTTTGGCAAATTGATGATTGTGTGTTTAGCTTCATTCTAGCTCGTGATCGTGTGTTTAGCTTCATTCTGGCTCGTTTCTCGCTTGTTTTTATTTTTTTTTCATTTTTTGTATTGATTTAGCTATGTCATTGGTAACATTTAGCAAATGTAACTTTGGCTTGTAAATACTCCTTATCTGCTAACTTTAATCATATCTTAGTAGATTAAGCCCAGCTTTTAGCTAGTTTGGACTGAATGAGATGAATGTCTCAACATATTACGTGTCATTTATTGCTTTAGTTCTCTGCTACTGATACTGATACTTTGGTCTAACGTTGCTTTTTCCCTTCCTTCCTGTTTTCCTCTTATCCTCAATCAGGCTGTTTATGCAGTGGGAAATTTCAAAGCGTCAGAAGAAGACGCTCCCTCCTTTCAGAAAATGACTCCCTCTCATCATAAGGACGGCCTCAGGGTGTTGAGTCAAAGAGGTCATGACTCCCTCCACAGGAAGAATCCCAGGGCGTCGGAGAGCAGGGAGGAGCTGGGGATGGGATCTGGGGCTCGCAGTAAAGTAAGAAGGGAGAAGGCTTCCCTGGCCTCCCTCAAAAGAGCCAGCGCCGACGTGGAGCTGCTGGCTACCAGGGGTCCCATGGGCAAGGAAACCATGGTGACGTTCAGCAACACACTACCCCGAGTCGCAAATGGCAACAGCCCCATTTCTCCCTCTGATGAGCCTATCGCCACGCAACGCCACATGACCTTCCACGTCCCCTTTGACCCACAGAAGTCTCGACAGCTGGTATCAGAGTGGAAGCAGCGCTCACTGGAGCTCCGCAGCCAGAGTTCACGAGATGAGGAGGAGGGAATTGATGGGAGAGACGAAGGAGGGCACGGAGGAGGAGAAGAGGCATTAGATCAGGGAATGCCTTCCTCTCTTTATCCCACGGTGCAGGCCAATAAGGGATCCGCCACGCCCACTGGAGCCAGGATGGTGGTGGCTCCTCCGCTGGTCCACATCCCAGAGGAGGCCACACGTCCACCACCTGTTTCCCCCAAGAGTGCCAAAACCCGGGCCAAGTGGCTCGCACTCACAGAGGGAGGAGTGAAAGAGCCCGGACCAGGGCCCATCGCCGTGTCTACTCCACGCGTACCCAACATGCAACCCAACCAGCCGCCGAGTCAGCAAAGAGTTACTCAGGTCAGATGAAAACATGTTTTTGATCATTTCATTTGGGGTTCATTAGATGATTGCAACAGAAATGACTGGGAAGTAAAGGTTCCTGATGACCTTTCACTCCAGGAAGTGAGGTTCTATAACACTGCATTCAACTGCGATGACGTTTCCAAGAAGAAGATAGCTGTCAGCTGCAGGAATTTCATTCTTGTTGGTTCATCAAAGAGTGTGAGTGTGTGTAACGTCAGCTAATTCCCCGACTTTTACGACCTCCGAAAGCTTCATCACTCGGTACTAGGAGGGTGCCAACACCAGGGGGCTTGTGCCCAGTCAGTGCTGCCCTACAGAGCTTGCTCCTGTCTTTCAGCCTGATCTGGGAAAATAAATCTGTCAAACTCTTTACTGTCACTTGCCACTTTAACTGATGAGATTTTGTTATAAAGTACTGCGACATGGGCACAAACATCACGGTCACAGTCAACTCCTTTATAAATGTTCCTGAGGTGAATTAAATATCCCATTATTACCAGTGTTTACTTCCACAGAAGTGCCTGACCTCCGAGTTCATGTTACCTCATAAGAACAAGAACCAATGTAGCAACATTGATCTGGCCCAGTGTCAGGTTTCTCAGATACAGCAGCTGGGCCGAGAACCCTCTTCTGTTTTTGTGTTAGGCTCATTTTGAGTTAATGTTGGCTAGATGGGCCACAGATGGGTCAAATGACTGATTCTAAATATAATAAATATAAATAGCAGCTTGCAATAGTTATCGAGAATCTGAGCCACTAAGTCCAGTTCAATAAGTCTCTCAAACTGTCCACACCTGCATACAGAAACTGGACCCAAAAATTCAAGGTGCAAAGTGAGAGTATTTGCAGCCCACATCCAGCATCCGGCAGCCCACTTGCAGCATTTACAATCTGGGCCGTAAAACTTCTAGGTCATCTGAGTCTATTCTGGTGCAATCTTTATTTCAACTTTGGCTGAAATGCCGTCCACGTTTAAATTATTTGGTGATTTTGAATTTTGCTGCCGGGGTTGGTGATGTATTACCGCGCATGCTAATGGGATTTTCTGTGCAACAGGTGATAGCGATGTCTAAACAGCAGGGCCCGGGGCTGATGACCTCGTCCAACAAGACATCTGAGGGGGGCTCTTCTTCTGGTGGGGGCTCCAACTGCTCCGAGTCTCCCTACTACAGGATCCCGTCTGATCGAGACAGCTGCACCGGGAGCAACCCCGGGAGCATCGCTGGGAGCGGGAGCATCGTCACCATCGACGCTCATGCCCCTCACCACCCAGTGGTGCGGGTGTCAGCCACCAATGGGAAGCCGTGGGAGTGGAGAAACACCATCAGTGGGAACATGCTGCTCACTGACCCTGTGGGGGACAAACACCGAGGGGCGCTGCAGCGTCAGGACAATGTCAGCCACTACAGGGATTACCGGACGCTCCCGGTAAAAACAGACTCCCTCTGCTCCTCCTCAGCCAGCGGCAGCACGGACAGAGAACCCGAGCTTCCTCCGCCACCTCTGCCCAACTCCTCCTCCCCTCTGCCTCCGCCACCCCAACTGTCATCATCCCCTCTCCCGCCACCACCACCCCACTCTTCCTCCTCCCCGCTGCCGCATCATCCACACTCCATATCCTCTCCCATGCCGCCTCCTCCTCCCCCTCACCAAGCTTCTTCTCACTTACATATCCTCTCCCATGCCGCCTCCTCCTCCTCCTCACCAAGCTTCTTCTCACTTACCCCCACCTCCTCACCCATCCTCTTCTCACTTGCCCCCACCTCCTCACCCATCCTGTCAGATGTCCCCCACACCGCCACATTTTCCCCCGTCCCCTCATATGCCCCCACCTCCTCCTCACCCTTCCTCCTCTCTGTTGCCTCCACCTCCTCACCCATCCGCCTCTCTCATGCACCCCCTTTCTCACCCATCCTCCTCTATCCTGCCTCCACCTCCTCACCCGTCCTGCTCCAGCATGCTTCCCCCTCCTCCCCACCCGGATTTACTAATGGATGGCCACGGTCAGACGTTGTCCCGCACCTCCACCCTGCCTCGACGTCCTTCAGGCTCCGCCCGCAGCCACGCTGAGCAGGAGCACTACTACAAGACTATGCAGAACGAGAGGATGTTATAGTGACACTTCAAAGATTGTACTTTGGAACTCCACTGGAGAGAGACGGTAAAACAAAGCAGGATGTGATGGATGAAGGAAATAAAAGGTTCATGACTTTTTAAAAAGGTGTACAGAAACTGAATCTGACTGGAAGTTCAGTCAAAAGACGGGAAAATGAGCAGACAGCAGGGGTGAAGGACTACTGGGAGGTTCTGGCAGCTCCTGCGCTCGGCGGGGGATCTGCTTTTTCTGCCCTTCTTACAGATACTGCCCACGGTGCCAACTCAACAGCCCCGGCGGAGGAAAGAACCAGAATGAACCAGTAGGCAAGGGAAAAAAACCTGAGTTGAATCCTCAAGGTCCACCTCTGCTTTAAGCACGCGCATCCTCTATGTTTCTTTAAGACAAACTCAAAGACAAGGGGGAGTAGAGGCTGCAGCTGAGAGCCAGCGATATCACAGTGAACACTTTGGATTTGCTAAATCAAGGTTCCCTTGAGAGAAGGAATGAGAAAACAAAATAACTTCAGGCAACACGAGCGCTTTTCCCACTGCAGCAGCTTTTTACAGATGCCAACTATTACACGCAGAGAATTTACCCTTGTCCCAGCTGAAAATACTCACTCCATACAGCATCAAAAATATACTGTACGTAAACTGCCATTTTAGGCTGGATGTAAAAACAAATGTAAAGAAAAAATAACCAATGACCAAAATACACAAAATACTCCAGAAAACATCTGTGGGAAGATGCGGCTAGTGGATTTTGGGAACATTTACAGTGAATAATTTGGGTTAAGTTGGGGCCGAGTTTGTATCTCAACCTCTAGGGGGTGCTGGGAACACAGGTGTAATTGTCTGGACTGAGACAAGTTGACAACTTCTTCACAAAAGATTAAGAACATTTTAAAATAAAAAATCATCATCAACACTCACTGTTGGATCTGCTGCCACCTACAGGGTCAATTCTCCTACAGTGAACAGAGAAAGAGTCACTACAGAGAAACACACCAAGCTACACTTTAATTGACTTAGGGATCACTTCACCTACATTCTGCAACGTTCATTTTGCATTTTGTCACTTTAATTCTGTCACTTCCGAATAACGGATTTTTTTTTTTTTTTAATTGGAAAAGTTACAGAAATCCTCCTGCCCTGGGGCACACAATGTCACGCTGTTTTTGTTTTTGTTTTTTTTTTTGTGCAAAAATCTGTTGCACAGCCTTAAAACACACCCACCACCCACCCCACACACCCACACACACACCCACACGCCTCCTTCTGTTTCCTTTTCACAGCCGGCTCTTGTTCAGCCGTAGGAGGAGGTTAAAGGATTCAACACATCTGTTTGCAGTTATTTCACTGCCACTTTTTTGAAATGTCTTTTGAAAATGTTTTCCTTTTTTTTTTAATTCTAACGATCAATCAGATACAAAAACGATGTTTGAACACGTAGGGTCCGTACTGGACCCACTGATGATCAGGGTCCAGTCTGGTACTAAACTAGAAAAATGATGTAAATCATAAAGCGCTTGTTTAGATGGATTAGTGCAGACAGGTCCAAATGGATTATTGATGGTTCACCAGCAGGAAGGAACGCTGACGATATAACAAAGTTGATGTTCTCCAACAGAAAGACAGGCCACGTTTTCCACATCATTTAAAATGAGCAGAGTACACGTTCAATAGCAGTACTGGTTGTAGTGATGTAACGTCAGTATTTCCACTCACACACTGAACTGTTTGTTGTTTTTTTTTACAGAAGAACAGGTTGAGTTTTTACCTCTCACATACTCAAAATATCATTTCAAGTACAATGCAGCATCAACTAGCTCTGGGGTTTAAAAATAATTATGTAAATATCTGGTGGCGTCCATCCAATCATCCATTTTCATCCACTTATCTGTTACCGGGTCACGGGGGCAGTAGTCTCCACGACCTCCACCTAAATTACACTGCACCGTACCAGCCCCCCCTGAACCTTCCTGCGGGTGGAGAGTCCACTGGAAATGTATTCATTACTTTTTATATAAATATTTTTTTTCAGGTTGCAGGGCCAATGCAGCCATCAGGTTTAGACGATGTACAACGTTGGGCGACCGACCAGTCCATCACAGGGAACAACATACACTGTAGAGACAAACGACCATTCACACACCTGTGGAGGAGCAGAAAAAAACAAACAACAACAACCCCAAACACAAATCACTTACTCGGGCCTGAAAGAGGATCTTTTTGGCACCAACCACTGTGTCACTCTGGTTTTATTTAATTTTGGTTTTGTTTAAAGTTGCATTGCACTTGCAATGATATTTTCAGCAACAACCTTCACAGATGAGGTTGTTTTCAATGATACAGTTCAGATCAATCCATAATGTTTTTCCTCTTCTGTGTAATTATACCAGAATTCACTACATGTTTTCATTATGATGTCTCTGGGTCTCCCACAGAGGTCGTGCAGAGGCATTGTAAACATTTTTTTAACATTTTTTAAATATTTTTTTTCCTCTATCGGCCCCACATTTTACCAAATTTCAATGTCTTTGAAAACATAAAAACACAAATCCAACATTGTGCAGCGGATGGACAAACGGAGGCAAAAGACGTCACGGTACGTCACGGTCACGGTCAGAAACGCACAGACTCAGCGACACAGGAGCGCCACCTCTCCACTCACTGCACTTTGCACATGTATAAAATACAAACGTGAATATATGAAGCCGTGTACTTCCTTAGCTTAGAAATGAATGCTAAATAACAAAGTATGTTTGTACATGGCACTAGGCCTGGTGTAGTACTAAACACAGTTCTGTACAGTATCTGTAGCAGGCGGTCCCTGCTCCATCTCTCCATCAGTTTGGGGGTCCTTGACCTGGAATACCTTGAAGGCTGCTGCGCTGTAAGACGTACGCTCTGATGACAAGTGCTTTATTTTAGATCTAAGGACTACATCTGATGACGACACACACTAACTCACACACTCACTGGTGAAAACACTCCACAAACCTCGGATAGATATAAGCTGGTTTTTTTTTTTTGGTTTTTTTTTTGTAAAGGTGAGGCTGCGTTCAGCCGCAAACAAGTTGTATTTTGTATTTAAGGTGAACATACTGTAGCTTGTCGGTTTGTATTGCATGTGCGTACGTGTGAGTGTGGATTCTTTTTATAGCGTCTGTGACTCACGTCAGTTGAACGTTGAACTGACTAATTTTTCAGTGCTGGTGGTTGTTGTACTAGTTTTCCTCTCATTTTGGCTGTAAAAAAAAAATCCCTTAATATTAACTTATATGACGACAAATACCCTGGAGTCCTTTTTAACGGACTAATGTTTTTCTATCTGTGGTTGATGTGTATTAATAATAACCTCATTGAATAAAACAGAAAGACTTCTTACAGCAGGTTATGAGCTCCTGTTTATTAATAGCTCGTCGGCAGACGGCGGTGAACGGCTCCACGCGGGGAGAAGAGGTTTTTCGTCGGCACGAACGGCGCTCGAGAAAAAGATCTTCTCCATTGATTTTGTGTCTACTCTCATGCTCATTCACACAGAGAGAGAGAGAGAGAGACATTCACACAGAGCCAGATGGAGACAGCACATGCACACATTGCAGTGCAACATTTGCTGCTTTTCCCTTGGACTAGTGTCAGGTTTCTATAATGAATTCTGCTACAGTGCCGGTCCGTCCCCAATGACCCGCAGGGATGGACCGACTCGGAGCAGACTGTCCAGCAAATTGTACAAATGTCCATCTTCATTAATAAATATGATTTTTATTGCATTTAATCTGATTTTTAAAAATACTCATTTCGGAATTTTAGGTTGTGATATGCATCAGTTCATTCACACATATTTTGTATATTCATTAGTAACTGATAGCTTTAAGTTTTAGCTTTAGATGCAATTCTTTGTGCTAACCTTTTTCTAACTTTTAGCTTTTTCCAGCCACACTTTAGCAGTCTAATCCCTTATGCTACGTGCTAACTTTTAGCTTTTTTCCAGCCACACTTTAGCAGTCTAATCCCTTATGCTGTGTGCTAACTTTTAGCTTTTTCCAGCCACACTTTAGCAGTCTAATTCCTTATGCTATGTGCTAACTTTTAGCTTTTTCCAGCCACACTTTAGCAGTCTAATCCCTTATGCT